ACTACATAGTTTTGTAATTTTCATTAGATTTCAGTTTAAAACAATTAGTTTCTTCGATCAATTTTGATAATGCAATGAGTTGACGAAAGTGATTAAAATTATGTGATATATTTCGGACATTCTGACCACATATAAATATACTTAAGACATTTTATAATAATGGCAAAGGCTAACTAGACCGATTGAAAGGTAAGTGGAAACAAAGATATTGATAAAGTACACAAAAAAATAAGTGGAAACCACGCTGCATAGGTTAAAGTTAAGAACACATAAAGGAGGTTTCAATATACATATATATATGATCAGGTTGTTCGAAATGTAATGCGCAAATATATCACATAGTTCTGATAACCTTCGTCTCCTTATTGCATTATAGAAATTTTAGTTTAAGCTTATTTTAATTTTCATTCAAAGTGTTATCCCAGCATCTTTTCAAGTATGGAAGAACAAACAAAATTTCCATTTAATCGATATTCATTATCCATTAATAGGTAAACAGATATACGTATTACAAAAGAACACTAACAACATCTATGGAATAAATTTGAAAATATCACAATTAAGGTTGTTCAAATTGAAAATCAAATTATTTACATTTCATTTAACTTGAATTTGTCTAGTCAATTGTAGGAGTTTATTCGAACACAAGTTAACGCAAAAAGAATTATCTATTGTTTTTCAGTAGATGTTACAGATGTCTCATTCCTGTTATCATTTCTAGGAATCTAAAATTTTTACTGAATGAAACTCTAAGAGGATTGGTTGAAGTTAAACATTAACACCGTTGGATACCAGCTCAGTGATCGAGAGGTTAAGCGTTCGCGGTTCATGATTTAAATCAAAACTGTGACGACGGACCACCGGTGAACTCGAGGAAGCTGTAAGAGGCTCAGAAGGAGCCGAAGATGTTCCATCCAATCACCTTTCGGAAGAATATTCTGGAATTTTCACAACCCTTACACTAATAACTATTTTTTTGTTAATCTAAAGAGTTAATACTGAATATAAAAGAGTAATTTTTGTTAGGTTATGCTGCATTCAATATCCTCATAGTTGACAGTTATGGTTAACTGAAAACTTATTGATTGATAACTTTTGCAAAAAGAATAATATTCGTGAAAATATAAAATAAATTTTTAGTTGGAAAATAATCTACCTCTAAGAAATCCATTCATAAATAGTTAACTTCAATTAATAACACACTTCACTTGTATTCAATAAAAATGAATTATGAAACCATGTTCCATATGTTTTATTTCCAGGAGAAAAGAAAGACATTTATTCGATTTATACACACGATTTAGTAATAAGAAACGATGAACAATTAATTATTAATAAGAATACGTAATTGTTAAAGAGATCCAAATGAATAATTAATGATTTATTTTAGTGGCTCAAGATCTGACTCCAAGTAGAACTTTTGCTGCTTGTTATCGAAATACACGTCACTAATCCTCGTATACTATCATCGACTTAAGACGCGTTGGTTAATAATGGAATTAAATAAGTCAGATATGAGAATGGATTTTTGAACACGTATATTTTGTACAATCGTTGGTCAGAAAGTGAGATAAAACTAAGTGACGCATAATGGAGAAGGCGAGTGAACTAACTCAATCTAATTAAACATGAATCAATATCTATAGTCAGACAAAAATAAGTTGCAGACATGTGGTGAGTAAGATAAGAAATGTAAACCCATAGACTTACATAAAACCAGTCAAGGTTGATGAGCGAATAAGTGACAAGTTCAAAATATGGTTAAAGGAGATGAATAGATTGATCTATCCAAAAGCTAGAACAGTTTTATTTGGGCATGACATAGAGCCAGCCACTGCATCATTTAATAGTGTGCATGTCAACGTCTATTTTTAAGTTCGTATCTATTTTGTAAGGACAAACAAACTTAAAAGATTTGTTGAAATCGGCAAATTAAGTAATATACAATTTGATAATAAATATATTTTTTGTTAAGCTTCAATGAATAGAAAAATTTTATTTCTGACGTTTCGTGACTATTTGTAAGCCACTTCAGGAAACAACGTTTCCTTTGTACTATTTAAACTTGTGTTAATTTATTTCGGATATTTATTTACTCTGAAGAAGTGGTTTACACTAAATCACGAAACGTCAGAAATATATTTTTTTCTACTCATTGGAATATAACAAAATATATATTTATTATTAACTTTCTACTCGATGCTGAACTTACTTGAAACTATCAAATCAAACCTTGGCATTGTTACCTATAATATACAAATTTTAAAAATATACTAGGATGATGGGAAAAATGTTTAGAACGTGACTGTCAGGATGACTGAGATACTTCAATTTGGTACTTTAATAGTTTGACAATAATAACAATCAGAAGGTGTTTTGTGGAGATTTTAGAAATTCCACTAGTTGAAATCATGAGTTAATTGAAGCTAGACCACCATGGAAAACCTGGAAGCACTGGACGGCCGTTTCGTCCTAGTGTAGGACTCCTCAGCAGTGCACATTGACTGACAGGACTCATAGGTCCTGGGTTCGAATCTCGCGGGGGGCGGGGTCGTCAATTTAGTTATCTTGTGAAAATAAGTCAATGCAAAAGACATCGTTGTTAGTATATAACAATCAATAATACTATATTAGTCAAATTCTTAAAAGAAAAGTTGGTAATTATGTTTTCTAGTCATATTCAAGGTAGTAGTTAGTAATAATATATCCTAGGTTGGTATGTTTTTAACATTGAAATCAGTTCACTATGATTTCTTATTAATTTTGCTAAATATGATCAGTGAAGCATTTCAATCATCACCAATATATATATATATATATATATATATATATATATATATATATATATATATATATATATATATATATATATATATATATATATATATATATATATATATATATATATATATATATATATATGACATGATGTGTCATACTATCTATGAAATATTGTAGAATAATATAAAGTACAAAATATAACTTTCGTCCTTTGTTAGAAACCTGATCAAATTTTTAATGTGATTAATTGAATTCATTTTTTGATTGAGACTTTAGGCAAGTAAATTGTCACAACCGTTTTACTACTAAAAGTATTTTTATTCCCTTTTATTTTTGCGTAGTCATAAGTTGAGTTCTGACCCTAAACAGTGTTTATACACTAGTATTCGCATCGACAAGTGATTGAAATGTATTATCAGTTTACTAGAGAACAGTGAAAAACCAAATCACGGACTCAGTAGCGACACTACGGATTATTGACGAGCAATCAATAAAATGGGACCGGAGTCAGATAAGACTGCTTACTCTCACCCTTTTTCTTTCTTCTGGTAGTTGACTGGATTGTGAAGACATCCACATCTTAAAAGAAGCACGGAATGCAATGTACAGCTTGGATACTACTAGACGATTCGGACTACGCAAACCACCTGGTTCTTCAATCCTATACACACCGACAAGTGCAGATGAAGACAACTAGTGTATCATTAGTAGGCCTTGACATAACAAACGGGAGAAGCAGCAACCTAAAACACAACACAGAGAACACTAATCCAATCACATTTGATGCAGAGGCTCTGGAAGTGATGGAATCTTTCATGTACCTGGACAGCATCATCAATGAACAAGGTAGATCGGATGCAGATATGCAGGCGCGGACTGTTAGAGAAGAGACGGCATTCAAAAAAACTGTCAATCCATATCAAAGTTAGAACCTTCAATACGAATGTCAAGGCAGTTCTATTGTACGGATCTGAAACTTGGAGGACTACTACAACCATCATCAAAAATGTACAAGCATTTCAAATCAATTGTCTACGTAACATACTCAATATCCGCCGGTCGTATATCATCAAAAACAGCCTACTATGGGAGAGATCAAACCAACTTCCAGTTGTAGAGGAAATTAGGAAAAGACACCGTAGGTAGATAGTACATACATTGCGGAAATCATCAACCTGAATGACGAGACAAGCCCTAACATGAAATATTGAGGGAAAACAAAAAAGAAAACCAAGAAATATATTGTGCTGGGAATCGGAAGTAGACATTAAATGAATGAATAGTAACCGGAAAAGACTGCCCAAGACAGAGTTCTATGGAAACTGCTGGTTGGCAACCTATGCTTCTTCACGGGGGGTAAAAGGCGTAAGTAAGTTAGGAGAATAATGACACTCTAATCAGAAGATTTCATTCAAACATCTGTTTAATAATGAAATCCTTAAAGTTACACTCAAATCCGATTACATTCATCTTTGAGGAAATTTCGTAAAAATAAACCATTTTGGTGATGATGAAATGCTCTTTGTCTTTCATTTGTCTACAGACGGGTAGTTAATACGTTTATCAGTACTTCTAAGCTGAGAGTTGCTTTCTCAGATGATATACTGAATTCACCTTCGGAAATGAAGAGATTTGAATAAAAACAAGCTACATAAATGGCTTAATAATTCTACAGAACTGGAGAATCCACAATTAAGTCAGTGAATGAATGCTATTTGATATAAAAAAAAGGCTGAAATAATTTAAAAACATTGTTTAAACTATGAAGAAAATTGACTGTAAGGCCTTACTATCACATTTTTCATACCCACTCAAATAAACAAAAATATACTTTTTAATCAGAATGATATGACATTGGCTTAATTAGAGTTCAATTGATTGTTCTAAATATTTTCATTTGTTCTTCAGTACTATTTCAACTTGTGTTAATTTAATTTATTTTCTTATTCTCTAATGAAACGATTCAAACTAAGTTGAGAAATATCGGAAATCATATTTTCTATTCACGGAAATATTACAAATACATTTTTAACGTTCGAAGACGTATATGAATCGATCATTTGTATTTCCTGCTCATCTTAGTCGCATAACATTGTCAATATCATTAACAAAAAAACGAACATATTTATCGTCTTGATGAATTAATAAACATTCATGTGTAAATTCAATAGACTAATAGGAAATGTTCATAAGAAAAGAAAAAAAAACAAAGAACTTGCCAAGAATTTCACTCCAATGTGGATTTTCAGTTGTTGATCCACTGGCACCAGTTGGTGTAGTAGGCCAATCTCTCCAGTGTTGTTGTTGTTGCCATTCCGATTGTATAATTAGACGATAAATAGCTGTATTACATGCACAGCAAGTACGAACAGGTTTTGGTAATTCTTGTACAGAACATGAATCCAATTCTTCAGTTCCATAATAACCACTATCACTGTAACGATGATTTTTACTATCATCATGATCGAATTTTCCAATGTTTGTGATAGATCGTGCTTTAACATTATCACTTTTCACTTTTCTAAATAATTTTGTATTTGAGTGTAAATATTCCGACCATTCGTCAATTTGACGTAAATCTTCTGCTGGGCATAATACATGACGAAGTGATCCAGAATTTTTGAAATAAAATCTGTGCCAATGCCATGGTATGATTGTAGCTCTTATTTCAAGACATGAATTAAAACTTTGTGCATTCGGTGTATATTTTAGTATTGTTGATTCTGAATTAGCTGGACTTGTCCATACGAAGCTCACGTGGTTAGGAAAATTATATGCAAAACGAATAGCTCCGATGGCATGATTTGAACAAACTGTTGGCATAAATCTTCCTTTACTCTGATTAAATTCCTCACTTTCTGGCGAACCTAATGGTACAGCAGTCAAGTATACAGATTCCAGTCGTAATCCATTTTTAACTGTACCCGAGTGCAATTTAGGCCCAACTGTAATGAGATAATCCCTACCATTTAGGTAATGAACTACTGGTTTGTAGCTTGGTGAACTTAAATCAGATGAATGTAGAATTACTTGACCATTATTACCACTACCACGTCGACGTTTTGCATCTGGTGGCAAAAGCTGAATACGAATTTCTAAGCCACCATCACCTGGACGTCGAATTACAGACGAGTATTCAGGCATTTCATTGCAATCATTCGGAACTTTATTGTATCTATTTATGCACAAAATCGGGTCGAAATTTGAAAAAATAATGCATGAAAATAATACGAAATGAAATATCACACTTAATTTGGAATAGCCAATGTTGTAAGCTAAGCACATCTGGTAGCATTTTAACAGCATCGTAGTTTAAATAATGTCAATCCAATGAATTGATTTGGGATTCAAATCGATATTAAGTGACGTATTCGATATAAATTTATGCGAATCAAAAGATATTACTGAAAATCGCCGTCCCTCAATCTAATCACAAGTAGTCTATGCAGATTGTTTATTAAAAATCATTATTTATCAACTGATTCAAGAATACGACGGGATTTGTGTCGCACTTATTAAAACTTTCATCACTTCTTCATTGTCTTCAACTGATAATTTTGTTTCTTTACAGAAAAAAAAGTACACTACTTTTGATTACTAAAAGTAGCTTGCCTATTAATTGGTTTATTAAGGGCAATTAAGATTACTACCTGTCTATAAATCTATCAAAAATGAATGAACCAATTAGAATGTAGGAGTTACAGTCGACTAAACGGTTCGAATTATTTACTACAATGGAAAAATATACATGCACAGAAACATACCTACAAATATATATTTACAACAGGAAAGTTATCTTTTTGCTGATCAAATTATATACATAACCAAAGAATAATTTCGATTTTGTTTTTTTGTTTTTTCTGTTTTTGCCTGTAAAACAAACTATTTTTTATTTCTATAATAGAATCTCAAAGTGGAGATTATCAATATGAATATAAGTGTTTGTGTGTGTGTGTATACGGGTTAGGGACAGACAAAAACAGCTAGATTATTGTCAAAAAAAAACACTCTTTGTTCGACTTCCCACTTACGATATTTTTAAGTGTAGAAAAATATTAAAAAAAGGAAATAGGTAACTCATTGAAAAAAGTTTCTAGTAAGATAATTGAGATTTTATTATTTTCCTCTATAAATATGAGAATGAAACTTAACCAATTTAAACTTAAATTTTGATTTGTTTAAATAAAATTAAATGAAATCTGTAGAAAATAAATCTATCTGTAGATGAACTTGAGTTATATAATTTACAGTTGATTACTTCAGTTGTTTCCGAGTATATGATTATACAATCGACAACTAAAAACGTAACTTCATAGTGTAACATATTATTATACCTTATGCTAGGCTGAATAACATAATTTCTCTTTCCAATTCTTAGTGATAATATATGTTCGATTGCAAACTGATATCACAGCCTCAGAAAGCACATGGTGATTGATTCCATATAGGAATGAAATCAGTCAACAAGAAATGTAAACAAGAAATCACAGTATAGATATCCGTAACTCTGCCAATCAAATTTAATGCTTGTAATTCAATTCCATATTGAAAATACCTCTTAGAAAAGATTAATAGTTTCATATGTGCTAGAAGTACCTTTACGAAACTCTATAGTACGTCAACAAAGTTACTGTTTATTTGATGTTTTGCTTATTAAAATATAATCCCGTCTAGTCTAAAACGTTATACACTCAACGTCCAAATGAATGTTTTTCAATTACGTACATCTTAAAACTTTTGTGGGGTGAATTATCCTAACTGGTTGGTTTGAATAAGTAATTTATATTTAAATGGTTTTACAAAAGATATCCTGATACGTAAAACCTTGTATACAGTTTGGTTTTTAATGGATGGGAAAATTCTTGAAAATATTCTTGTTATTTATGTTGATATCTGAATTCAATAGAATACATCCTTTTATAGTGATATATTTATATGGATTTTCAAGGCTATAACATTACGTTATTCTGTAACAATTAATCTAACAGTACTAAATTTCTTAGTTTCAAATTCTGAATTCATGAAACATCAACTGTTACGATTTATATGTGATAGTGTTAGAAAAAGATAATAAATAAAGTTAAGTATCCTTTTACATTATACGCTTCCAGGAATAATACTCAAGTCCCTTCAACGAGTTAAGCAATAAACGAATATTTTGACACTGGTAAAACATCCTTTTTTGAACAGAAACGTTGAAATTCCTTGCAATATGACGTTGGAAAGAAATTCTGTCTTACGAATTATGAAGTAAATATTGCTTAAGGTGTTGAGATATTAGGTCAACCACAAATAATACAAGTACTCAAATGTCTGTAATAATGAAGATCTTAGTGTAATCAGAAATGTACTATTATCATCATAGGAAATCTGATTATTTATATTATAATTTGTTTGGATATATTCACATAACTAGAGTTTTAGCAGTTGATAAAAAACAATGAATAACAGATTTACTTCCCCCCTTTTGTTCAAACACGACTCATTTGATAATTTCAATTAATGAAAATTCAATTGCTTTGAGACTTAAGATCTGATCAAGAAGCTTCAGTTATCACATAGTACAAGACACATAATATTCATAAACTAAGACTTTACTCATTCTATGGTAGGGTATCTGATGAGGATCTTTCTTGTTCGAAGTAAAGTTTTCATTAAATTATATTATTAGTGACTTGATAAAATAAAGAGATCATAGCATAGTTCAGTCTTTTAAATAAATCGCCCATATATATCATTTTCGTTAAATGTTCTATAGAGCCATCTTTTCTATCCACTGAATTCGCGAAGAAAAATATTATATCAATCTTAAATGAAGGATCTAGAGAAAAACTGACATTTAAGTGGGTGAATCATTTTTTAAGATGAAAATTCGTTTTTCACTTTTGGGCTAGACAAATCATTAAAAAAATCCAGAACAATTTATGAGCACTCATATTTGATGGTGTTTTTTTTTATGGAAAGTTATTTAGCTTGGCATATCATTGTGTTAGCTAACAGATAAGTGATTTACAAATGTAAGTTCTATTGTACTAACTCTCATAGTCAACAGTTTAGTGGAATTTCAATAAAATCGGTTACATTTTAACCAAATTAAATAAGTGATTTATTCAGTTAACTTATGTTGACCTACTAGCAAATTTTCATAAGCTGGGTCTAATACTTTTGGCAATATTTTCTAACTTAGAAATGTGAGCTCGTTTTCACATATTTGTTTGATAGATTTTAAAATTAGAACCATAAATAAATGAAGTTCACATAGAAGATTTTTCCTACTAATTCTTATGATAATTATTTCTTAACTTTTCGATGAAATTTTATTAGGACATGTAAAAAGTCTGACTTACAGTGTAAATATTGTACTAAATAATATTAAACAACTATGTATTTTTATAAGCAAAGATGGATGGTAACTAGCTGTGGAATGCAGGATGCGCGTTTCGCTCTGTTTGAGGCTCGTCAGACGGATGTGCCTGCATCCGAGGTGAAGTTCATTTTGGGGCTCGGACCTAATACTGTTCGCTCTCGGAGTGAACATCAACTATGGAATGCAGTTACGCACAGCCGACGAATTTCAAATAGGATGAAACGCGCGTTCTGGATTCCACTGCTAGCCATCATTCATCTTTGCTCATAAAGTTTGTGACTTAAGGCAATATCGAGGCAATCCGCATAGGATGTGTATATGCCAATAAGAGACTGATCAATTGCAATCCAAAATAGCGATGGGAAAATACAAGCAAACAACACTAAGTGAATCCATATATTTTTATGTTTCACATCTGTAAAAAGAGTGAATCGAAAAGTAGACATTTTTGTGTATAACAAAAGGTTGTTTAACAAGTATTTGTTTACCCAATAACTTAGATATATACTGAGTAATTATCATGTCAGACATTTTTTTCAGGATAAACATCCTTAGCCGAATCAATATAGTATAGAATTCTAGAAAAGAGGTATCTTATTCATCTTAAAACTACCATATTTATCATTTGATGAACTGTATTAATATTTATTTATTACAGTCAATCAGAAATAAAATTAATTATCTCCGTGTTGATAACTGTTGAAACACTATGTTGCTAGTTCAGATTACTTTTACATCTGTAATCAACGGTTGTACAGCTTGTGTTCTTATTTCATTAACTTACATATCAGCTAAAATGTAATGATTCTATTCCTTGACGTATTTAGAAAGACACATTATTCATACTAAATAAGTAAAACTTGCTTTCTCTGTAAACGGAAAATAAGTATTTTGATTTGTTTCCAAAGGTTAGTATATTTTAATGATGATCGTTGACACGTTATCAGCAAATAACTTCAAAATATATATATTATTGCCTTGCTGTCCTGTACACAATTTTTTTGAAACTATCACGTTCAACCTTGTCTCTGATACCTACAACATTTAAAACCATTTTCGACAGCATTAGGGAACCCACATGGGGAATATATACATTCCTAAGGAGTATTCTAGAGTTGGTTTAATGTAGCAATAGAGTTTTACATTTTTAATTAAACACATTTGTTTGATAGTTTGACTGATTCATATTTCGTACAAATCTTTATCATGCAAATTATCCATGTGATAAGCTTAACATACAGAAGTTATTGTTGATGGGCCCAAACAGTTTTTCAGTTGTTCGAAGGAAATAAAGTTCCTTAAAATCTCAAAGACATTTGCTTTTTTTAGTATATAGCTATCTAACTTCTAATCATAGACTATATTAGATATGTTGAGTTTACTTATGGTATTCAACTAATAGATTTTATTCGTCAGACGTAACCTCAGTAGTTGAACTGAAACGATTCTAATGCCCAACTTACTTAATCTAACGTTGAAGCTACAACATGTGATGGCCCTCTAACCTGAACAATCCCTCCTGATGACCAGCCCATCTTGCTTCCGTAACACCTTTAGAGAACAGGTAAAAACATATCAAAATGACAGTATATTTAAGATTATGAACGTAACATACACAGATTATGATCGAGCTGCTGCATGTGGCTGTTACATGGAATCCATTAATCAATCCACGTTAGTCACCTTCAATCTAATTGAAATTTGACTAGTTAATCAACATTAAGTGACCAGTTTCATAAGGTAGAGATACATCTAACTTGAACGTTAATTTGGCTAGGGTTCAGTGTTATTTCATTGACCCTACATATTATCAATAATACATACATTTATCCAAAAATTATGATAAATTAGGCGTTTGCTTTAAGAAAACAATAAGCAAGATAACAGCAAAAGGTTGACTATGATAAAGTATACTTTCTAAAGGGTCTGAAAGCGTAAATAAACTGGAAGGAAATTAAATTAAAATATTTCATAATGATTTATATTTGTGTAAATCTATAACATGGATGAATTTCTTTACCAGCACCTGTAACTCCTTGATTTTAATAGATAATCAGGATGACAATTGAATGAGATTGAAAATAAAACAACTTTAGCTATTTATTAGCGATATAATTGTGAAATATTTCTTTGAATACTGGAATGTTATGTTTTATTGTTGATGATTCTATCCGGAAGTTTTCATCTTTTTATTGGCCAGTT